TTTCAACAAGCAGTTATTGTTTACGATTGCGATTCATTTATCATTTACCGTTATCTATAACGCTGAATACATAAATATGTAAATACTTTTATTTATTCATAGGCAATAAAAATGACTCGAACCAAAGCATTTAGTAAATACAATGTAACATTGAATAATGTTCCACACTCCAAATGCAAAAATTTTACTAGTGAAACAGACGAATATTGGGAATGCGCTCTTAGGCATGTTGCTGGCACATTACATCATCAGGTAAACAAGGAATGGAATATTGAAAAATAATAATTGATCACACATCTAAATATTAGGTATGATTCAATTCTTTTTCAAGCAAGAGCTGGTAAAAAATTTTGGAAAATTTGATCACAAAATTAAATTAATTAGACATAATCATCCATAAAATAATTAGAAAGATAATGGATTTTTATAAATCGTTTATGACAACATCAGTTATAAACTTTTGGATTCATACTGATATAGAAAAGAAACGTACTATATAACATCACCCTAAAAACAATTCCATGTAGCCATTAAGCAATTTTGTGAATCACAAAGCAATATGTGACCAAAAAGCAATTTTAGAACCATAGATTGAATACAAAACATAGTTAATATAGACAAATCGTTTTTTATCAAGGTCGGAACTTGCAAAATGGGCCCAGCAAACGATTCATCAGCTGTGGTTGACCACAAACTAAAGGTACATGGAATATCAGGCCTTCGAGTTGTGGATGCTTCCATTATGCCAACCTTGCCTGCTGCTCATACTACTGCTGTGGTCTACATGATTGCGGAAAAGGCTGCAGATATGGTTAAAGAAGATTGGCTGGGCGACACCAGAAATAAAAGATTAAATTTGAAGCATTGATGTAATAAAAATGTTAAATTTTATAGAAATGGTCTGAAAACTGCAGTACTGAAGTATGATGATGGCAAATCGTTCAACCTATTTCATAAGAAAATATTGTTTATAAGAGAGTATTTTCTTGGTTCTAAGCAATCTGGGAACATGCATTAATAATATTGGGCATTTTAGGAGCCCCAACATATAACATTTGGGACACGACCATTTTTTTCATTTCTAATTCATTTTTTAAAATAGCAAATATAATCCTTTTCTTTATTCGAACTTTTATGATTCAATAAGTAATCCAATGATTAACTTATCTATATATTTGATTGATTTTTAATATTGTAGGTGTAACAACGCCTATTAAAGCCCAACATTTGATCCTTTGTATGCTTAGTCATTTAATTTAATATACAATTTCTAGTTGTAAGTACTAATCAAAAGCAATTTGCATATAGCTGAATTGTTTACAGTTATTTATTTATGTTATGTTATGTTAGATTAATATTTGTATTAAAGGTTACATCATCTTCAAAATAATAATTAGAATCCAGAGCGCTTCAAAAAATTCTCGTAATACTAATTTTGCTTACTAATTCTTGTAATTTTACTAACTTTGCTTGTTAAACGTTAGTTGCTTAAATATTCTTTCATTACAAATATAGTCCAGATTTAGAAGCTAATTTTTTTTGTAAAATGTACGCCCATACAGAAAATGGCTGAAGGTACTTAAGAACCTTCGAATATAATACTTCGTAATATTTCAACAAGGTAAAATCATAAAGGCTAATCCCAAAGTATACATCAACACAGAATTATGTTAACACGTTTATAAGAATTATAATAAATCACTGGAAAAACTTATTAATTAATGAACTAGAAGTAAGAAAATGATACTATGAAAAATGAATCACTCACCTATCAGGTACTACACCTCAGCATCGATAGGAAATACTTCAAGAAAATGTCCACAAACACTTTTGCTGAACTTACACTTAACACTTAAACAAATTCAACGTCAACCTGTATTGCAAATAAAATAATTTATCTTGGCCGAATTTACTAAAATACCACTATCACCCACGACGAACAAAATATGAATGACCGCGTGTTTTCTGCAACTAAATTTTAGGCGGACTTTTGATATTACCAACAACACTGTTTTAATATGTGCAAAATTGCCAATATATAAAATATCAATTTTATTTATTATGTAATATGATATCGATATCATCGATTATCGGCAAAACTGGGCCGTACTGGATGAAAATATTAAAATTTTATTTTAATATAGTAACACTATAATTTATTTGCAAAATCTTCTTGGAGAAGTTTTGAACACTTCATATTCAATTAGATAGTTGTTAATCAAATTTCCATGTTTTTATGAAAATTCCAACAATTCTTAGAATTATTATCTAATTTTGTTCGTTAATAACTAAATAAAATTATAGGTATTTCGGGAGATCCTGAATTTAAGATTGAAAATTTGATGTTCAATTAGATAGTTATAAATAAAATTTATATGTTTTTACTAAAATTTCAGCAGGTTCCAATCAGCAATAAGTTCCAATAATTGCTCTCAAAATTATTTAATTTTGATTGTAAATAACAAAATAAAACTGGATCTTGTGTGATCTTGAATTTGAAATTGAAGATTTTCTATTCGATTAGTTTGCTATATATAAAATCTTGATGTTTTTATAAAAATTTCAACAATTTCCAACAAGCAAATTCCAACAATTCGTCACTATTTAATTCTGGTCGTTAATAACAAAATAAAATTGGGTCTCCAATATCGTGGGAACTTGAATTTAATTTAGCAGAAAAGCTACATTTTCAAATGTTGCTTAAACTCCACATTTGATATTATTATTATTATACTAATATGTATCAATATTAGGATTGGGATATACAAAATAAATCACATGACTTAACAAACCATGTATTAAGTGCATCTATACAATGTCTTCAAAAATTTTCCACTAATATTTGTGTAATAAACTATTAACACAACATATCCCTAAATTTTGGCACATTGAAAAATACCATTTTATTTTAGAATGCATGTTTTTGTATACCTGCTAGTATATAAAATAACATTAATTGACTATATTTACTCTTACATCATGAATGAACAATTCATGAAAACTATATTATCACAGAAAATTATGCACAATTATAATTTACCAATTAAAAGGTATTTTCAGGTTAAACTGAGCAAAAAATTGCACAAGTTTGCTTACAAATAATTGCAATATTTGTTTTCTAAAGTTTTTGCTTTATAAGTGAGTTTGAAGTTCTAGTATAATTACTTCTAAACTTATATCTAAAGAGAGTTACTTTAGTATATGGTAATTGGTTGTTTCATATTATTAAATAATGAGTCAATTTTGAATTTTGTAAGGTAGTATCCAGCGATATTTTCAAGAGAGTATTCTAATTCACATCTTGCAGCCCTTTGATTTTATTACACAGATAAGACAATGAGCAAAAATCAATTATACATTCACAGTCTTAAATTTATTTTCTGCAAAATAACAGAAACATGTCTGTGAAATTTATTAACCTTATAGTCATATTTGTAAGCGTACTTAAGTCAGATTTGCAAAAAGACTGCCTCGATTCATCAAAAATGTAATTGCATCAAAATACTTTGTTGATTACATCGCTATCTATTACTCATAAAATTACAACATTATCAAATATATTTCAATGTTCACTTGTATCCAAAAATACCTAAAGTACAATCTAGTAGTATGTTCATATCTTGCCAAATTTTTTGGTGAAATTCCTAAACAATATGTATATAATACAAAATTCATGAAAATATAACTTGAAGTCCTAGAAAACATTGTAATTTCATATATTTATAATTAGGAAGATTACTAGAGTAAGGCGTAAGAATCACCCATCTGCATGTATAGTTTGAGAATGGGGACCCATACATAGTATCAGACATGTATTGTTGTTCTATTATAAAAAAGCTGCAAACGCAAACAAGCAAATTAAAGCTGAGGAATATCTACATGCAAAAGCTTTGCCAATGATATGATCATGAAAAATGATTAGATGAATTAACTCGAATAAGATACTAAACTGATCTACAATGAAAATACTGTTATTTGTATTACAAGAATATTTTGAATCCACAGAATGTACTGCAGCTTATATTGACAACTATCTTTTAACAAAATCTGTTTCCAAAGCATTGTTAAAATTCCATTATTGTGAATTAGCAAAGATGAGATGTTCAATGAAGGATTATGTGGAAAGTGCTCAGTGTTTTCTAACTTACGTCAAATATTGATATGGTTAAGAAACAATTATTACTACATGGTCACAACATGTATTTTAGTCTATATCAATATATAGCTACTTATCTATTGTATTACAAATTTATTGATAACCTTCAGTTGAAAGCAAATAAAGTATTAGGAATATATTGTTCATATTAAACAATTCATGGGTTTTATTTAAGCCAGAAATGCCACAAATAAATGAATTTTTAAAGCAAGAGATATAAAGTACTATGGACTTCGTAATACATTAACTTTATTTGTTGTTTTGAAAATATATTGTTCTTTTGTAGTTGAATCAATAAAAAAAAACTAAATTATGTAGCCATTGAGAAAATTGAATATGATTCCAATTTGAACTTCAATAAAATTCTATTTGTATATCATTCTCCAGTTACTAATTAAAACATAGTTTATATCAAACTCCTCTGAATATTCTAGAATGTGCAAGGTTGTTAAATCTGTGACATCTCTTTCTGCATACATATATAAGCATAAACAAACTAGCCACAATATTGAAGTCATCCATAGCTAACAGATAAATGATCTATCTTTTAATCAAAGCTATCAATCTAAAAAATTATACGTAATCTTCAATTTCTTACAGTTTACCCAATATTTATCAAAAGCTTGTCAGTCAAGATGTATCCTTCACACCATTAAGCAAAATATACTCTGTACAATATTTCATTCATTGTATATATGAAATGTTATGAAAGTATACAAAATTCATGAATACTGATAATACTAAAACAGTTTCACTAGGTCGCAAACTAGTTGTAGAAACTTGTCCTCTTGAAATATGAAATGCTATACAACCAAAATGAATAAAATCTCAATGAAATTGTAAGCTACTTTCCTTCAATTCTCACTCGTTCTTGAGTCGCAGCTTCTGGCCTGACAATCTTACCTTTCAGCATGGTAAAAGTTCCTTGAACCTGTTTTAATTGGGTGCGTAAGTTGTTGGCAAGTTGTTTTTGAAGGACTTGTACTTCGAGTATGTCTTTTCTAAGGTTTTGGTATTCGTTCTTGACTTCGGTGACAGATTCCAGAATTTCAAACACTGCAACGTCGTTATTAACATTTTCTGACATATTTTTTTCATATTCATCTATTTTACAAACTACATTTTCCAACTTTTGGTCAGTCGTCTTCACCTGGGTAAAATAATCATGAAAACAATGAGTGGGAATGAAAGACACAAATGAGGGTACTCCAGAAACAGTGCTTTTTTGTAAGTTTTCAAAGAATTGCTACTAAAAACCGATCCATCATGGTAAGAATCAGAGAACAAACAAATTCACAGATTTAAGGAAATATATTATTACTATGTAATTGTGTGTATTATTATTGAGTATTAAGTTTTTCATTATTATTACGTATAACATAAATATAGATCAAAATAAACTGCTGTAATCATAAGTCAAATAGAAAAATCAAATCAATTAGAAGCCATTTTATATTCAAACAAGCAAATCAGTTTAATAATGCATTGAGCAAATTTTATTTAACCTACGACATGTTGAAATGTTTACGGCAAATTATTCAATTAAAATAATATTCACTTACTGATTTTTCTAAATTCTCCACAGCTTCCTCCATTTCTTTTTAATTGTTAATAAACACACATCACAAATGAGCACATATATAACTTAAATGTCAAATGGCACAACCTAGAAAATTATTGATTGAATTTTGTATACACCTCAAACAAGCTCTTGTCGGCCAACTGGTGGTAGAAAGCGGAAACACCCGACACACGATTTAGCGGGGTTGCGAACTTCAAGTCATTCTTCTTTGAACTCTTGCATGGTGGTAGTACTGGCGGAAATCTTATTAGATTCTGCTGGACAAGAATCTAATAAGAATAATTGATTCTTGTTAGACATAATAATTAATAATGATTTATTTATAATAAATAATGATAAATCTATAAATTTTGTATAATAAATCTTATGAATACATATAAAATTTATGGTTATCTAATTTTAGTAGTGAGTTTTAGCATAAACAAAATAGTAACAAATTTTGATCAAATCAAATTAAATGATCAAAGCTATAAATCTAAAAAAATATATATATTTTATTAATTATTAATTTCCAATTTATTAGCTTACCCAATATTTATATATTGGCAAAAACACATGCAGACCATGAAAACATTTATATTATTTATTTAAACTTATTGATTCATATAATGGTTAACCAGTTTTATATCAAGTATTGTAAATTTATAACAAATTCGAAAGTACCATATAGATATTAGTCATAATCATTTATAAAGTACCATATAGATATCAGTCATAATATTTGCAGTATAACTAGCTATGGAATAATAATATTTATTGCATTAAATTATCATATTACTACGATTTACTATGTCGTACTATGATTGTACAATCACATTCATTTTTAATTCTATATCGTACTACGATTTACTATGATAGTACAATCACTTTCATTATTTTATACGATATTGCACTACAATTTACTACGTCGTACTATGGTAGTACAATCACATTCTTGATTTTACTACATTTTACTACGACGTACTATGATAGTATAATCACATCCATTGATAATACTACATCGTAAAACGATTTTCTACATCGTACTATGGTAGTACAATCACTTCCATTGATAAAACAACATCGTATTACAATTTACTACGTCGTACTATGGTAGTACAATCACGTCCATTGATAAAAAAACATCGTACTACGATTTACTACGTCGTACTATGGTAGTACAATTACGTTCATTGATAATACTACATCGTACTATGATAGTACAATTACGTCCATTGCTTATACAATATCGTACTACAATTTACTACGATGTGCTATGGCAGTACAATCACGTCCATTGTTAATACTACATCGTACTACGATTTACTACGATGTAGTATGGTAGTACAATCACGTCTATTGATAAAACAACATCGTACTACGACGTACTATGATAGTAAAATCACATTCATTAATAATACAATATCGTACTACGATTTACAATGACGTACTACGATTTACTACGACGTACTATGATAGTACAATCACATCCATTGATAATACTTCATCGTACTACGATTTACTACGACGTACTATGATAGTACAATCACGTCCATTGATAAAACAACATCGTACTACGATTTACTACGATTCACTACGATTTACTACGACGTACTATGAAAGTACAATCAGGTCCATTGATAAAACAACATCGTACTACGATTTACTACGACGTACTATAATAGTACAATCACATCCATTGATAATACTACATCGTACTACAATTTACTACGTCGTACTATGGTAGTACAATCACGTCCATTGATCAGACAACATCGTACTACGATTTACTACGATTTACTACGATTTACTACGACGTACTATGATAGTACAATCACGTCCATTGATAAAACAACATCGTACTACGATTTACTACGACGTAGTATGATAGTACAATCACATCCATTGAAATACTACATTGTACTACAATTTACTACGTCGTACTATGATAGTAGAAAGCGTCCATTCATTTTACTACATCGTTTACTATGATTTACTACGTCGTATTATAATAGTACGATTACGTTCATTGATGATACTACGACTTACTACAATCTATGATAGTACGGTAATTTATATTAACAAAATATGATATAATCGTATCATATTAGCATGTATTTTGGTAAGATTTGCCAAACAAAATTTGAAAGAAATGTTTATTCATGATTAATATACATATTTTTTTTGCAAATTTGTTTATTAAATCATTTAACTGATTATGGCGTTAGGTTGTATATATGACTCAAGAATATGTTTCAGCATCAAAAATAAAAAATCCTATAAATTTATGTATAGAAAGAGACTAAACCAAAACAAACTTTACTTACATATCACCAAATAATATTTTCTTTTAAATATTTTAATTTAGTATATAGATGGTTGCTGTATTCTAGGCTATACTCAACAATAAAAATTATAAGATATACAATTAATAATATTATTAACTATTTTTATTGAATCAATATCGATGCATTCAGATTGTATTACGAATATTATTGAAAATAGTTATTAGTCTAAAATCTAAGCATACCTGCATGATATTCATCAATCTCTTTAAAATACTCACTACTCTAATTTTCACATTTACAATTTTAATTCTCCTCAAACTTCATGAATTTACCTGCTTGTGAGTTGCCAAACCCTGCTTTATGAGAATTCCGTGTAAGCATACTTGTGTAACATTTATCTACTATTCCAACTTCCACATTTTAAATTTTAATTCTCCTCAAACTTCATGAATTTACCTGCATGTAGGTTGCCAATCCCTGCTTCCGTGAGAATCCCGTGTAAGGGACCACACACACACCGGCACGCGTCGCATCCGTCGGCTACCTGCTTTATCGGCCTCCCGCTCGCGCTAATCGGATTCTAATTTGTCAATTACTACTAGATGGCACCACGAGCGGACCACACACCTCGTTTCGCGATGTGTGGCAACACCACGATCGCCGACGCCTCGCGCAGAGCGATGCCAAAGGAAGAGGAATCAAAGCTGAATCCACGCTCGGAGGAGGAGATTGATTGATTTAAATTGAGCAGGTTAAATGGTTTGGGGTTTTATTATGGATTTGTTATTAATCGTTTTATTTATGTTAATAGGTATTTTTTGTTTTGGGATAGAATATTCTTTTTTTTTTGGAGGTTTCGGTAAATGTAAATCTTTGGATATAAATGGTGTAGATTCTGACGTAGATATATTATTTATTTAGCTTATTAATAGATGTATTTTTTTAGTTCTTAGGGATCGTTCAAGTATTACGTAAGCAGATTTATTACAATTATTTACCCCCCCCCATCCCCCTTGCCAGCAAAAGTAAGCAAAGCTCTTACCCCCTACCCTCATGCTTACGCAAACATTTTGCAATTAATGTAAAAAAATAAAAATACTACTTATGACCTAATCATCATCCAGACTTCCCTGCCCCCCATGTCAACCCAAAATAAGCAAATCAACAACCCCCCGCCCCCCTATAGTGCTTACGTAATACTTGAACGGCTCCTTATTAGAAAAAAACATAATGATGGAATAAAATTTCAAATCAACAAAATTGGAAATTATGTAAAACCCGCGATATCTCTTCTAACTTACTCTTCAACCTGTAAATCTGATTACTTGCCACTGAAATAGAAAACAAATTTGAAAACCAAATAATAAATTGGTCATAATTATGACATTAATTAGTCTTAAGACTAATTTTCTTGACCTTTTAAAATTACTGATAAAACTAAATTTATAGAGTTGCTATGTTTTTAAATTTAGGTACCTATGATTTATAAGTTTGTCGAAATTTCATATTTTTTCTTTCATCAAATTTGGCTTATTGTTATTTCTCTTTTCTGAATATATGTTTAATGTACAAATAATTAATAATATAAATATTAGATTTTTAGTCAAAGTTTCTTGTTGTGATACTACTTGTTATGGTTTAGGAAGAAACCAGGACCATTAAAAACATCTTAAAACAATAAGTATCCAATTCATTCTTAAGTTTTTACCTACATAATAATGACTGGTAACCACAACGAAAATTTTGTAACCACAATATTAATTAACTATCATTAGTGTAGCAGGTGAGGTTGTATACGGAAAACAATCCATTAGAAAACTATACAAAATTCTAAAAAATCATTCTGTACAGTTATGCTATTAAAAATTTTCTTGCATCAGTTTTGAGTAGAACATTGTTTATATACAAATTGATATACATAACAGAGAAATAAAAGGATGAATTCTTCATTATAAAACTGTACATTGCCAAAGCTATAATTATTGTCGAGGAAAGCTCAGAAACCAAAATAGCATTCTGAAACTAAAATAGTGCAAAACTCTAAAAAATTGAAATGCAATACAAATAATAATTTATTTTATGCATAGTGTGCGGTTGCTTATATTATACATGATCCTCTTCCTGAAATCCTGTTCTTGCTTGTTGTGGAAAGTTTTGGTGCTTTTAGTGTACATGATCCATTTCGTAAAATACTTTACTATGTATAAATTGTTCAAAATGTAGATAATAAATTGGATTCAGTTTTTCAATATGTCATTTATTTCGAAATCGATTTTGTATTGGTGGCCCACCGCCCGGAGTCCGCAGTGCGCGAAAATCGAAAAGCGACAGTCGGCGTCTGATTTAGTGTTTTGTTGGGATTTTAACATCGCGTAGCGTGTTCCTTACAAACAACGAGGAACGTTCACACGAATCTCGAATGTTCTCCGGATGGTATTTCATCTGTCTGTTGCCGGCGAAATCAAAAAGACTAAAGAGAATAACCTGGCGAGATCGAGAGAACGTCAAACTGTAGGAGGAGGAGGAACTGATCGAAAATAGATCGAAGACTTAGTATCGAACAAATGTCTGATACTTCTGATGGAAAAGATAAGTATTGCTATGAAACTACTTTTCTGGGTTTTGCCCTTCAACTCAATTTGCTACCTTGTCAAAGCTGTAATTCATTCACCAATTTGAACAAATAGGTTGTTTTAATTTTCTCATAAAAAAGACAACATTCGGAAGTTTGTAATCAACATACTGCAAAATGAAGCCAACATTTCGCGTTGATACTGT